TAAAAAAGTAAAATAATTAATATTTATCATTTAATAAATTCAAATTAATTTATAAAAAATATTTTATGATATCATAATTAATTTTTAACAAATTAATAGGTGATCATAATCATAACCAACATGTTATCCTCGTGTAAAAACTAATTTTGTTTTATTTTATTTTATTGTTAAGAGTAACATATAACTAAATATAATAATTGATAAAATATTTAATATTTATTTATATATTATATAAAATATTATTTTATGTATTAATTAATATATATTTAATAAATCCAATAGAAAATAAAATTATAATTAATCATATGACATTTATATCACCAGTATTACAATCATATAAAGAGTATACAAAATAAAATATTTTTAAAAATATTTTTCTATTTAACAACTCTTAAATAAAAGTTAAGAAATAAAGACTAATATTAATTTACAAACTTAACAAAAAAATAAGGAGTCCATAACATAAAAAATTAACCAGCAATCTGAAGTTCAGTGGTCATCTTTTTCTGCTAAAAATAAGAGTTTTTACATTTGAATCGTATGATATACTAATAAAATGAGGTAAAAAATGAGAAAAAGTTACTTTTCATTCTGTAACCAAAATAAAAAAAATAAAATATTATCTATTTAAACTTTTTTTTTCTTTAATGTTTTTTTTTTATATGGATCACCCGGTATTCGAAACCTCATTAAACTACTGATTAATCCAGATTCAAGTTGGGTAGAACCCAACGAACGACAGAACTCTCTCACACAAGTTTTAATGAAATTGCATTTAAACCAAAAATTTTAGTTAAATTAAAAGAATTCTCTGTTAACTCATCCATCAACTCTTAAGTCTTAATATCCCTTATGAACGTTATTTAGATGATTTATTAACAATTACCGTAAATCCAACACTAAGTGATCTAATAGCATCCCTTAAAAAAAAATGTCTTTAAACGTAAAATTCTAAAATTTATAACCAGACACCATTAACTATCTTCTCCAAAAATTTTCGTAGTTACCAAAAATAAAAAAGAAAAGGTTACCGTAAAATGAGTTTAAAAGTAATTTTTTGCATTCGTGACAACAAAATCATGACGGTAGCAATAACCCCCCAGAAGAAGTGGTTGAAAAGTGTCTGGAAAAACTGAATCGTGGCCGTCCAGCTGTAAAAGAGGGCTGTAGTGCTGTGCCGACTGCCGAGGCAGAGATATGATATGACTTTGGACAACCCACACGTCACCTTGGAGGCAAAAGCTTGAAAATCTTTCTTTTAATCAATTAATA